TAATTTAAAAGGTGATGTACAAACAGCAGTGATGCAGGAGTTGGACACCACAGGTACTTTGAAAAAACACATACTCTGAAAATTCTACCATTATATACCTATAATTTGAACCTTAGTATTTGAATATTTTCTTTGTATGGCCAATTTTAATTAAAACAATATGCTTTGAATTTCTGTGCTTTTTTACACTTTTCAACACAACAGATTTTTATTAGGCCAAAGCGTGGCCCTGTGCTTTGGAGCAGATATTCCAGGGCCTCAATGACAACATGTTCTATACAGTCCAGTTGATGCTGCAGTTAATCCAGAAGGGGTTCACAATGAACTGCGTGAGGGAGCTCTCACCCCATCAGGCATGGCACTTAACAGAGCTCTGCCATTCTATCCACTTGACTATCAGAGCCTATAGAATCATTACAATAATCCAATTATGTCAGAAAGTGCAACACATGCCTGTTAAGCTTTAAGGCAGCCACTCACCCAGTGAGTGCCAACACATGAATAGGCTTCGGGATGCTTCTTCAGAATGGCCATTGTAAATTTCACAAACACCATGTCTTTAAGAGACAGCCTACAGCTCAACCAGCAGCAAAAAAGCTCACTTTGTAATGCAGAGGTCTTGCTAGTATCTACAGGTGCATATCTGAACATGAAGAGCGAGTGCAGCTGGAGATGGACGCAGTGGAGCATGTCCTCTGACACTTGACAGTGTTGTTAGAAAAGACGAGCGAGCAGTGACATCCCTGTATTAACAGGCAAGTGGAGGTGAGGGGTTGATTGTTGATAGGATTCTTTTAAGGGACTTTGAAGGCCCCAAGCAAAACAAGACCTGGGGGACCCTACATAGTACCACGACAAACCAAAATTGCAAAGCTTTTGGCAGAAAGATAAACTGGCATGGGGCCTTGAAGGCGGGGGGGTCATTGCATTCTCCTGTGTATCATAGAATTTAAGGGGCTCCATATAACATTTTTGTTGCTGTGGACTAATGAAATCATCGATTCTCGGGGGCCCCCTCTCAAACCAGTTGCCTTCTTTGCTTACCCTATTTGCTACACCCCAGATTGTTGATTACTTTTCTATCATGACACCTAATTCCTCTTGAAGAGAATACTGGTTATTCCAACATCTCCTTGTGACACAAAGGTAACGGAGTAAGCTGTGGCTGGGAACCACGGTCTGTGGCCCCCTGTCTTGGTTAAAATATGTGACAGGAAGGGAAGCTTAAACTCGAGAATCCATAGCTGGATGCTGAATGGCCTTGACAAGAAAATTTGGCTTTGTCCCACTCTGTGCTGGAAGCATTTCAGAGCCTGCAGACACAGTCCACCATCTCTGCCTTTAACACTGGACAGGTTTTTTGAGGTAGTGCAAGAAATTGGACCTTAATCCTCAATGATTTGTTGTCCATGCTGTTGGTGAATTTCAAAAAATCACAGAACAAAATGTGAACACAAAATGCAAATACAAACCAATGGACCAGGCAGTAACACTCAATGCAGCACTCTCTCTCAGAATGGTACTAGAATGATTTTAGTCCCTTATGACTCTCCCTTTTAGACCTTCATGCTATGTGATATCCCTATTTTATTTTATATATCACAGCACACTTTTATTCTTTACATATGCATTGCAGCATGTAATTATAACTTAGGACCGTTATAAAGAAGGCATTGTGCACCATCTATTCATAGCTGGGCAGTCCTGCTGATAGAATTGCAGGAGTGTGATTGGCATCTATTCATTTCCTCCAAACTGGGAGCGGGCTATATCAGAGTCAATCATTGACCCTTTCAGACAGATTCCAAAGACTGGATGATGCCGGGGATTAGCCGTCACTACCACTGCCTTGTTTACTTCCTGTAATCGTAAGCCATAAAATGACTGCATAAATTGCACAAAAGCATTAATCACGTCGTACAATTTTCTCTCCCACCACATCCCCCCTTCAAATACAAAAGCTTTCATTTCCTGCTCAATCTCTTGACAGAAATCCAATCAACAGTGGATCATAATTTATTCACTTGGAGAGAGAATCCACTTCAAGTGTATGAAGACATCTCATTATTTTAATACAATACACATGCACAAGTGAGAGAAAGCCCATATTATTGTCTTAGCAGGTAGCAGAGAGGGATTGCATTTTCATGTTGACTGACAGAGAAAATCAGCACAAGATACAATTGTTACATAAAGTTTAAAAAAAGTTCCCTTTTTGACATTATTTTGTTGTTCATCATGAGGAATACTGATGAGAATCTCACCAACTTCTGGTCAGACAACTGTTTTGACTGCATTTTTTTAAGTTAACAAAAATAATCTATTCAATGGCACAACTCCTCCAGTCTGGAATTTGTTTTTTTTTTTTGTTTTTTATGCAATATTTGACTTCATCATTTGTTCGTGACCTTGCATGTTGCACAGAATGATGTTTCTCATATTGCTTTTGTTCCATCTCCAGTGTTGTTTTTGAAAGAAAATGTCCTGATGTTGAATATGCATGTGTATCCAGTGAACGTTCCAGTATGTTCTGTGTACTGAGATAAAATCACTGAATAAAATGGGAACACAAAATGCAAATACAAACCAATGGACCCAAAAAATGTCCAACTTTCATTTGAAGGATTGATTTGTTGAGCAAAGGTATCAAGGTTTTATAACTTCACTGTCCTATTGTCTTCTCAAGCTGTGATATAATACAACAGTGATATTACTCAAAAGAGATTTTAAAGTTAAATATCCTGAATTGTCTATTTGAGGAAGAAAAAACATTGCTGGTATTGCAAATGTTTGTATTTGTTTTGAAGCAAAAGAGGTCTGGGACCATAAGGCCATTGTATTTAGCAGCAACA